TCAATACGCACCTACCCGATATCATCCGATCCGACGGCGATTTTCTCGCTCTCTCATTAGTGGAGAGTCGATAAGGTGGTATCGGTCAGGTGGGGCATGAGCTTTGATTTATGGTTTTATGCGAAATTTCAAAATTGATCATGAATATCTCGCGATCTGAATATTTTAACTTGAAATCCCTCCAATCAATTCTCGGTACATTTTTTTTATCTACCGATTGAGTTAAACAAAATACTAAACATTACCTTTTTTAGATTTCGTGCGTTTTGTGAACGCACATCCGTTATTTTGCTGTTTTTAATGCAAAATAACGGATATGCGTTCACAAAACGCACGAAATCTAAAAAAGGTAATGTTTAGTATTTTGTTTAACTCAATCGGTAGATAAAAAAAAATGTATCTGTGGTAGATTTCGTGCGTTTTGTAAACGCACATCCATTATTTTTTTGCATAAGAAAACGGAGTATTTATGTGATGGGAATTTTTTTATTTCCTATCATAGATTACAGATTTCAGTACCAAGCACTGGAATTATCAGACGGTATCTATATTTATGCTTTCAGATTAGCTATGTAAGTTCATCCTACTTGGAGTATTAAGGTATGGAACGGCATATAATTTTTCTGATTTTTTGATGATGGGGGCGGGGTATAGCAAGCCGTTCTATTGGATAATTCTCCATGTAGGAGGCACTTACGATGCTAATCATAAAGCATTAATTGTGGTACCGTCCAGTTTTTTGACGTAGAACTACGTCTTTGTCGACTATACTGGGGTGCAAATAAAAAAATATGTGTGGTGAAATAGTGTTAGGTTTTGAACGCTTGTAACTTTGTCATTTATAGATGAAATTTTAATTCAAATACGCCAATTGATAGGATATTACTTAACAAAGCTTTTGAACAAATAAATTTCCTGTTTTTAATGAAAAAACTTTTGAAAAATGCACAAATTATAATTACAATAAAATAAACGTTTTCCTCAAACCCAGTCATCATAAACGAGTACCACTTGGTTGCACATCATTCTGCTTGAACCTGAAAAGATATAAAACAGCGCTGCTTTCTTGCCTCTGCTCATTACCGCTTCAAACGGCGTGGCACTAGGTCCTGCAGCAAGCAGGACCAAGTCAGCGGTTCACATATATGCGGATAGTGTACTAGCACTGTGCGTAGCCATCCAGCATAATGTAAGCAGGGCATCAGTGTCTACCAGCACGTACACTAGCACTAGCTAATTCCCTAGAGGCTGTTGGCAACTATGCCATACCACTTTAAATTCTTTGTATGGTCAATTTTCTACGCAGGGGATCGATCACCTTGACAACCAGCGATGTCGAAGGAGAGACGGTAACTATTAAAAACGATGGAAATTATGTACACAAAAAACACCACACCCCCTCCTCCCCCCATAATGGCAACCTGAAAAAAGACATGAACTTTGACGATCACCTTTTTTCGATAAATCAACTAACAATTAAATTAAATTAATTCAACCGAATTGTTCACCCAGGTCATTTTGATGATATCCTGTTTGTGATTTATCAACAACTGACTAAAACAAATCTGATACCTCTTTATATGCAATTACAGATTAATATCAGAAGTCCATCCTTTTTTACATATTCTGCACAAAAGATATTTTGTGCCCCACCCCATTATTAAAAAAGGCGGGAAATCCTGTCAGTTGCGGGGCTTAGAAAGTATTTTTTGTGCAGAATATGTAAAGAAGGAGGGACGTCGGATGTTAACCTAAATGCATATACCGTGCATCATAGAGAAAGAAGTGCGTGGAGAACTTGAAAAGGTAGATGTATCTGTTAGCGGAAGTGAATAATCACTGAGATTATTTCTAGTAGTAGTTTGCGGTAGTACACAATGCCTCTCAAAAATAATTACAGTGAATATTCACTTCCGCTAATGTACCGTTTCAACTTGCCCGGTGTACCTTAACTATGATGCTTACTATCAAAACATTGAACAGGTGGAGAACCTGTATACGAGATTTTGCAATTAATGTTGTACTAAGCTCCTATTTATTGGAAACCAAACGTTTGATTTGAGAAAAGTCACAGTATTTTATTTTGCATCATTCTACGAACACGCTGTAAAGTACATAATGATGATGCATGATAATTTCATGTTATGGAGAACAAAGCGGTGCTTTAACCCCGTATGATCGTTATACCCCTTCCTCCCCTACTTCCCTGACATACACACTTAGATTTTTTCGCCGAGATGAGCACCACCAAGCAGCTCGGCATTTTATTTTGCTGGATCTCAGTGAAAAACTTGCCGAGATTCAGCTAACAAACGGGAATTTTGCCGAGATCTCAGCTAACAAACATATTTTTTGCTGAATTTCCAGCAAAATAAAATGCCGAGCTGCTCGGTGGTGCCCATCTCGGCAAAAAAAATCTAAGTGTGTATGAACCAACATTTTGTTCAATATTGGAAGTACCGTCTTCTGATAGGGAAAACAACTACCTGTTGCTTTATCATAAAATGCAACCTTCACTCTCTTCTCTGCTTCAGATACCTAATTCAAAACTAATGATGGAGCTACTGAAAAAAATGCATGGCGTTTTTGTGCATTATACTGAGGTGAAAATCAACCAAAAATGTGTGACGAAATAGTGTCAGTTCCTTTTGTAGTCGATGTCAAATTTAGTGCACATTGATCACAGCAAAATAGATCAACATTGATCAACCCTATGTAGTTATGTAGGGAAAATTCTGTCAATTCTTAACCATTACATTAAATTTAAATACATTATCTCATGCGTAAGATGAACGGTGGCCGATTATGCGAACATGGTCGCGAGTTTTGAACCATAGCGGAAACATTGAAATAGGGGAATTTACGTATTCTCGGCAACCTAAGCAGCGACCTTCTTTCTATAGCCTTTTTCTCTAAGGAACGCACACATATGCAGTATTGGTTTGTTTACAATCTTTTGCTGCCAGCTGCTCTTACAATTTCAGTCGAAAGAATTGTCAAAAACTGTTTTGAAACGCTTTTATAAAGCTCCAATCTTCTCTAGTGAGAGCGAGTATTGTCGGCAACCAGTTTTTCTTCGGCAACCGTTCCATTTGAACTGCATGTAAATCTGCTGTTCTATTATCGGCAACTCGAAATCAGCTACAATTTGTAGTGCGTGTGTTTCATTTCAAGAAAACCTTGCTAGATTGCTTTTTCTCAGTAGTAAAAATATAGTCAAATTGAAGCTGAAAGCATAAAGAATCGTTTGCATGCATTCAGCGAAGTGTTTTCGTAAGAAAATCCAGTGAAAATAGTGTTTCAATTTGGGTTGCCGAAAATAGTCTGGCATGCCGAAGCCGTCATTTCCCCTACTTGAAAAATTTAAGGTAAAGTATAATAGTCGAAAATGCATGACATACATCAATTTGGCGTAGTTCTACGTCATACTGTGGTCGTGTCTATGACACAACCTTTTAATTTTTTTTTTCCGTGCGATGTATTGGAATTTGTAAACTGTGATAGATAGATAAATCATGTTTTCCAACCATGCATGTGCGTCCACAAAACGCACAAAATCTTTAAAAAACAGCAGTATGAAAGATTAATTAATTAATTTATCTTTATTAGGGAGGCTTTCAGCCTTGGGCTGGTTCGCCTCCAAAAAGTATGAAAGATGTACCGAGAAGTGATTGTAGTATTTATGGCTAATCAAGATATTCGCGATCAATAACGCTTATGACGTAAGAACCGGAGGCGAACCAGCCCCAGGTTGAAAGCTTTCCTAAATGGAAAACTTAACCTTATGAAATAAGAATCACCCGAAAAGACCAGCAAATAAATTCAATCTAGTTTACTTTTCGTCGAATTGCGCATGTTTTACCTACGTTCTATGATTTACATCAGTGACTGAAAATTATATGTGACCAAATTAGTAATTTCTAAGAGTGAATATAGCAACCAACTAGCACAAACATTACGATGACTGCACTGATAATGACGACCTCAGCAAGAAAGATGGACACTTGTTACCTTAAATGAAAAAATCTTTGTGGAATAAATTTAGAACAACAGCCTTTTAACATAAACTAAATTAAAGAAGTTTTTTATGCAACATGTGTGCAGTGCCTAATTTATTCTAAAAATATTGGTTTTAAGAAGGTTTTAAGCAACAGGTGTCTTCTTACTGTGTCCGTCTTTACCATCTACTGTGTTTTCCTACTGTATCTTTTTTTGCCAACTGTCCCCTATAGTAGCCAAATACACATTTTTAGTGATTGATATCATTACATAGAATATCGATTTTGGGGGAATTTTATTTAGACTGGAACACATGATCTGTGTAGTGTGATTCACTACTTTCGTTATTCCGTGATTATGTTAAACATTGTACACCCGATCCTTTTTTTTTGCACGGTCGTATTTTTCCACCCACAGTCTTCGAATGACATCCAAAATAAATGCAATTAGATTCAAAAGATCACAAACAATTCAAAGAAAAAATAAGGTGCGCACAAAAAGTTTCCAAGTTCACCACAGATCAAGAAAATTGAAAAATTGGAAACGTTTAAAAAAAGAATTGCGCGTAAATGCCACCAAAAATGGCTTAACCCGACTTTATTCGTACTCATTTATAGATATATCTAATAATAGAGTCACTTGCTGTTTGATATATCGCCGAATATGTTCTACCTATGTGCTGAAAGCAAGAGATTGCCATCAATGCTTCCCTGTACACTATATTAGCTACGAACGTAAAATTATAGATGGGCTCAACATATCCAGCCACCCTGGTTAATACCTTTATCCTTCTCAAACTCAAAATGGATTTTCTGTACTCTGATAGAAACGCATGGCTTATCAAATCCAATCAAAAGTCCACACAAGCTCACCGTCAAACAAAGCGTAACCCGTCGGTGGTGAATATAGAGATGGTTAGATATGTGTGAATCAAATTTAATGGAACTTCAATCAAAATTAATTTCAATTCGCTTTCTTTACTTCTTCCCCCTTTGTTTCAGGTTGCTCGACCACTGTTGGAGCGTTCATTCTACCGAAAGGTCCAAAGTAGAAAAGTATTCACCCATAGGGAATCATTTGATACAATCATTTCGAAGACTGAAGAGAAATTATCAAAGTGCCGAATCGAATACAAGCAGTGCTATATTGCTCATCGTCAGAATCCAACGCAACTTACCCTGACGCAATACATCGACTCCCACAATGCATATGTGCAGCAGCTGCACGCCACCAATGCCATGCTGGAGGCGTACCATTGCGAGACTCTGCCCCAGCTGATGCAGGAACTTGAAGAAATTTACAATGACCTGTGCAACATCGTAGCGGAAGCAGTACTACAAGGTGCAGAGGCAATTGCAGCCAAAGTGAGTATACTATTTATGTAGATATATTTGCTTTTCAATATGAAAGCTACTTGAACATCAGACTATCAACCTCGTCATCCTCGTCATCAGCGTCATTATTGGACCGCTTGCACTTGTGAAAAGGACATTGAGTGGGTGAATCATTACGGTTATGCCCGTACTCACTTCTATTCTGTCTGACAAATGGGGCTCTTCCGTATAATCACCGGACGCCTAGGAAGGATGCTATATGACACCAATGATTGTTCCATCATTTGTCCCTAGTGGCCGTTCCATTATGGTCGGAAAAAAGTTTCCGGCTTGTTCTGCTATTAGGACAACACTATGACCAGTCAGAGGCTATGTCCGCTGTTGTCTGCTATTCTATTGGACCTGATGCCAACCCATACTAAACGTCAGATTACCTTTGTAAATGTTTACTTTTCCACTCACATTTTTGATTTCAGTTTCTTTCTTCATGGTTTTTTGGTACAGTAAACATGTCAATCAAACCTAATGCGGGGAAATAAAATCCCACTTAAATGGCTTAGTATGGATTGAACATTCAGTATAATTTCTCTCCAATACACTATGTACCGTAAAATAGGGCACCTTTACTTATGCTTCTTTAGTACTTCATTAATTCGTTTTTTCTTCAATGTTTTTGCTAAAAACGATACATTCAACCGCTCAAATTTTAAATACCATTATAATCACTATGACTTATAGGAATAACCAGAGGACTTCCCTTCTAACTAGGTACCAACTTTTTTAAAGTTCAATATTTCTGAACGATGTTCACGCTTCATCTGTTTTTCAAAAACCATTAGATCGAGCGTTGTTGAGCTGCCAGGGCAGTAATACCAAATATGGTAAAGTAAGAATCGTTCTAAAGATAGTTTTGAAATCCTTGAATTTAAATAAACGATTTCAACGAAAAGTATTGCAAATTCCAGACATAGAAAAAAAATATTATGGTCAAAATCATCAAGATTCTGGGACTGATTAAAAATATCAAGATTCCAAGTCTTGGATTTTATACAGATGTTTTCAAGTCAATGAGACTTACAGATATATTGAGTAAAGGTGTTGGTGTCAGACTTTGAAGAAAAAATGTATGCTGCATTTTCAAATATAATCCCAGAATATGGGATTCGGAATATTTTGAAATCTTTCAGATTTTGAATTTCTTTAAGGAACTTTGAAGAATTTTCTTAACGATTTTGAGAAAAATTTGAAATTTGAGGAAAAGTAAAAAAGTTGAGAAATAATGCAAAGAGATTGTGGGTAAGGATGATTTCAAGATAATCCTGAAAAGAACTCCACGAGAATTGTGAGGATAAGTACATATGTATGAGTTCTAACGATAACTTTTACGTCATTCTGAAGAGAATTTATTTTCTGCAATGCGCAACACAATTCTCAACTTTAATTCTTCTGTATTTTTCCTTTAATAACTCCACTACCATATCTGGCAATATCTGGTTGTCATTTTAAATCGTAATAATGAAAAAAAATGTAAGAAAATCCTATTTCTTCAAAATAATTCAGTGTACAATACCAAGGGAATTAGAAGTCTCTTTTTTAAAGGGCGAACACAAAATTATTGCGACACATTCAACAGGGCATAACTTTTTTACCATTGGGTAAAAATCAACCAAATTTTGCACACTTTCTCATTGATGTGTATTGTGTACACGCTGTCAAACTCGAAGTCGTGTTTTCGATTCAACGAAAATGGAGGTGAACCAACGCGAGTTGAGAGAACAAATTCTTTCCAAACACCTGGAATTTCCTGACCTGTCGCACCGGCAGTTGGGAAAAATGTTGAACATTCACCATTCAACCGTCTCGAGAGTGTTGAAGCGGTTCCATGAGCGGTTGACGTTGGACCACGGCAAAGGAGCTGGAAGAAAACAGGGACCGGAGAACAAAAAGACGGAGGGAAAGGTGAAGCGGATGATTAAAGCAAATCCCAACGTCTCAAGCCGTGATTTGGCTAAAAAGATCGGCATGTCGCAGAGCTACGTCCAGAATGCAAAGAAGAGAGCTGGACTACATACATACAAGGTACAGAACTTCCCAAACCGCGATGAGCGGCAACAATCGACGGCTAAAACTCGGGCACGGAAGCTCTACGAGAAGATGCTGACAAAATATGGCTGCTGTGTGATGGACGACGAAACGTATATAAAAGCCGATTTTAAGCAAATTCCGGGGTTGGAGTTTTTCACCGGCAAGAGCAAGTTCGATGTGGACGACAAATTTAAGAAGAAGAAAATGTCGAAGTTCGCCTCCATATATCTCATTTGGCAGGCCATCTGCTCTTGCGGACTGAGGAGTGAGCCTTTCTGACAAAGGGCACAGTAAATGGCGAGATCTACAAATCTGAGTGCCTCGATAAGCGCCTTTTGCCGTTCTTGCAGCAGCACGACGAAGCTCCGCTATTTTGGCCAGATTTGGCATCATGCCACTATTCTAAAAGTGTCCTGGAGTGGTATGAGGCCAATTCTGTCCATTTTGTTCCAAAGGACATGAATCCGCCAAACTGTCCGGAGCTGCGCCCGGTGGAGCAGTACTGGGCAATAATGAAGCGGGAACTTCGGAAGAGCAAGAAGACAGTCAAAGACGAGAAGGACATGTTAAGAAAATGGAAAAAAAAACTGAGAAACTGGTACCGGATGACACTGTAAAGACTTTGATGGAGGGCATCAAGCGAAAATGCGATTAACTTTTCTTTTGATTTTTGAAGTAAATATATGTATAAAACTACCCTAAAATTTTGGTTTGATTCTAAACATTATAAGAAAATTGGCATGACATTTTCGGTGTCGCAATAATTTCGTGTTCGCTTTTTAGTATTTTTCTCCGAATTCTTTGCAATGTTTTTTTTTAAGAAAAACTGAATAACACATCATTTTTAAATAATTACTGATAAACAATTTTAAAAAAACTTGGGAACATTCCTGGAGAATTCTGCGTAGAATATTCTTTTCTCCTTGTTTTGTTTTCCGTCGATCTTGTTTTCCGTGCTGAGCACCAATGCTACCGACGCCAGGGAGGCAGCTCCAACACCTGGACCTTACCTATCGACCCAACACAACTCATGAACCGGGGATCAACGGCTTCACCTCCCTGGAAGGCGTGATCAGAGATGTTATGCCTCAGATGCTTACCACTACACCACCGGCGCCGCTTTCTCCGTAGAATAAAAAGGATAAAAAGGATATTTTGAATATATTTTCAAGAGTGACATGTAAGAATTAATACGACTATCAACATTTAAATTAATTACAATAGACATTCTCTACTTAGCTGCTCCACTGCTTCACTCACTGCTCCAAAAATTTCTAATAGTTCTTCGTAGTGCTACTATTAAACTTCTTATATGATAAAGTGGAATTAAAATTGCAACCAATAGAAGATATACAAAAATTATTCTATGTAATTTAATTGTAAAACTTATTGTAAGTATGGGGCTGTATTTCACTGTTTATTTTTTAAATTGTATTCACCAAATCCCAAGATATGTAACAATCCTAAAGAGTATTTATTTTTTACATAAGATCTTCAAAAAATGTTAAGCAGTGGGTAAGGTAGTGGCACAAATAATCGACTACGCACAAACAGTATTAGTATAAGAGCTGGTTGAAGAATAGAACCAAGGCCTTGTGCATGAGAGCACCAGTACGAATCGCTACGCCATCTGAAATAAATTAAAGTGAGCTGTTGTCCTGACTACTGTTGGATTTGTCAGTGCTGACTGACTTTTCCCCACAGGAAGGTTGTACCATGCTGTTAGTAGTTGTGAGATCAAAATGCTTTGATCAACTTTATCTTTTGATAGCCGTGGCTATACAAACAGATTTCACGCTATTGTTGCCACATAGTTTGATAAAGGAGGTTTTTATCTAGCAACCAAAAATTCAAACACAACAGGGAATGTTTTTACAGCTGTGTTATTAACAGACGCGAAAGTCGATTAAGAGAATCGATCAAAGCAAATAAGGCCTTTTGAAATGTTCAAGAAATTCTAGAAACCATGACCGATTTCTCGAAACCATTTGATCGATAATGTTGATATTAGAAGAATGAATTTGATTGTCGAATTGTGTCTTAGGTGTCCACCAGAATGACGTGGCAATGCGACGCGACGTGACCACTTCAAAATATTCCTATTATTTACTATCATTCCTCGCTTCGTTATTCTGGCCGCACTCTTAAGCTGTGTAATTAATTTTCACTTAAATTTGACAGTAAATTAAAATTTTCAATAATCCCGACCTGGATGTTGGTCAAAATTAATTTCTTGTCTGTCACAAATAAGTACGCCGGAATAGTATGGAGTATGGTTGTTTGGAATTATTCACCTGAATAGTTTCTCCCCAAGTAACAATTTTGGTTTTATGAGGGTTCTGTAGACCATGATTTAAACTTGTAGAATGCTATAAAACCTCAATAAAGCTTGCAATGTTACTTGGGTCGCCAATAGACCAATCGGAAAAACTCGATCTTCTCCGATTCGCATTAAACTTTGGGAAATCATTTTATTCTTTTTTGAAATATTTGAATTTCAACATTTTTTTTATTTTTACTCAAAATTACAAAAAAAAAAATTCCGCGTATATTTTTCCCAGAATATCTTTACTTTTCCAAACAACTTTGTGTCTGACGTTATTTCGAGAACACACAAAATGTACCACCGCCTTACGACCCACACTCATGGCATCCGATAGTGATTCGTTGTGGTAAATCTGACAGTTTGACTATTGATTTGGCTATCATTTTTACGCAACGCATCACTAACGTATGAAATATTCATGGTCTTTAGAGTTTGCCAACTACCAATCCACATGGTTGCTGAGACTTACTCAAAATTGAATAGGACATAACTCAAAATCGTTAAAAGTGAGGAACTTGAAATTGAGTTAAAATAATACTAATTTTCGAGTAAAGCTTCCCCAGTTTCGATCACACTTTAGTTCTACACTCTAGTTTTTTTTCAAGGGTTCCGGTGGTAT